AGCCTCATCTTGTTTGGGACTCTGTTGAAGTTTTGTCGAAGTTCATTGAGCGTACTTATAACCACTGTTTTGAATTCTGCATCTAGTAGATTGCTTATCTCCATTTTGTTTGGCTCTTTTTCTGGAGTTTTGTTCTGTTCTTTCCTTTGGGGCATGTTTTGTTGTCTCCCCATTTTGGCTGCCTCACTGTGTTTGTTTCTATGTGTGAGATAAAGCTGTATATCTCTAGTTCTTGGTAGAGTGGCCTTATGTAATGGGACATGTCCTGTAGGGTCCAGTGGCACTCCATGTACACCCCCCTCCATGTGAACTGTGTATACCATCCTTTTGTAGTTGAGACTTGATTGCTATTGACACCTCAACAGGAGGGGTTTACTCCCAGCCCAATTGGCTACAAGGAATGACTGTGATCACCAATCACCAAGGAGGATCAGGTGTGCAGGGGCCAACCCCCAGAGCAGAACTTACCTCAGTGGGGCTCTGGTGCCCCATTAGTCCATCCCTTGAGTTTCACTTGTGGAGATGTTTGGGTGGTGTTTTGATATGGTCTGAAGCTGTCTGCTGTGTGCACTGGCTCTGGGGGCTCCCAGGAGGTGCAGGCCAAGATCAGCCACTGCCTGTGTTCTCCCCAGGGCCACCCAGCATGAACAACAAAGCAATCTGCAGATGGCTGCTTCTTGTGCTGGGCTTGAAGGTGCCCTGGCAATGCCCAGCTGCAAGCCAAGGCTGGCTGCCACTAGTGTGGGGCCTGGGGCCACTTAACAAGATGTATGGGGCATGCTGAGATCTGATGCTCCTTGTTTGAGATGCTTTAGAAAAGCGTGAAGCATGAGCCAAGACAGGCCATGTGTATGGAAAAGCCACCGGAAACTGCTTGGGTGGGCCTATGATTTGGGTGGGGCAGAGGCTCAGAGAATAACCAGGGCTGGGAGAAGACTGTGAGCCAGTTTAATGGAGACTCAGATATGGTGCCTGCCTGCCATCTCTGTTGGGGGTGGGTGGGCAGGTGATCTCAGAAAAGGAACAGTGGCCTCGATGAGGACTTCTGTCTGGGAGATAACTGCCCCCACCCCTTGCCCCAGCTCTCGCCCTGATGCCAGACAATTCAGTTCCTCCCTGTGTGCCCCTGGTTCTCCTCATGCTGCCGCCGTGTTGGAGCTCAAAGGGAGTGAGTCTGAGTAAGTCCACACAGAGTCCCTTTAAGAGGAACCACCTGGGACTCTAGAAGACCTCTGTCTCACTCAGCCACAATCCCCGCTGGTTTTTACAGCCAGAAGTCACGGGGCTTCTCTTCCTGTCACTGCAACCCTGGGCTTGGGGGCCTGAGACCCCTTGCTCCTCAGGTGAGACCTCTTCAGCCCAGATATCCTACCCAGTTTTCATCTGCTCCACATGAGTGTGGGACCAGCCCGTTCCACATCTTTGCCCCTCCTACCAGTATTGATGTGACTTCTTTAAATCCCTAGTTGTAGTACTTTTATTCATATAGATTTCAAGTGGTTCTGAATGATGGTTGTTCTGTAGTTTAGTTGTCATTTTGATGTGGCTGTGGGAGGATCTGAGTACTGCATTTACCTACTCTGCCATCTTAAACGGCAGTCCCTAAGGAAACTTTCCAAGGGAAGAATATAAATAATTGAACATACAAGGCACATAGAGAAAAGAAATAAAAACTATCAAAAGTTAAATAAAATGAATAAAAATGGTAGAGAAACTAATAGATATTAAAAAAACAAAACAAGCAAAAAAAAACAAAACTAAAAGGATCCAACATTTACATAATTTGAGCTCCTTAAGAAGTAAAGTAAGCCCTGGACCATGTGGCTCAGTTGGTTGGGCATTGTCCCATGCACCAAAAGGTTACATGTTTGATTCCTGGTCAGGGCAAATGTCTGGGTTGTAGGCTCCATCTCTTATAGGGGCTGTGCAGGAGGCAGCCAACCAATGTTATGCTCTTACATTGATTTCCTCCTTCTCTCTCTCTCTCTCATTTTCTCTAAATATCAATTTAAAAATACTTTTTAAAAAGGAAGTAAAATAAAACAATAGAATACAACTAATATCTAAAAATATGATTCAAGAAAACTTTGCTGAAATAAAAGAAGACTTTCACCTGCATGTTTAGCTGGGCCCCAGTGCCCCTGGAAGAACTGACCTAGAGGAGGTAACTGCAAGATATAAGCCTATACAACCATCTGACTTTAAAAAAGAAAAAAACCCACTAGACCTCCAGGGAAAGGACCAAGTTACTTTCAAAAGAAAGACATCAGGTTGGCATTATACTGCTCAATAGTATACAAAATAAGAAAACAAGGTAACAACATTTTCAACAACCCCGGAAAGTGTGGGAAAAGGATTTTATATGCAGCCATAACACCCTTAAAAACCCAAATCTACAGAAAACATGTTAAGCACACAATGGCCAAGGGAAGATTGTACCTACAATCCCTTCTGAGGATTCTTCCAGGGAATAAGCTCCATTGGGGAAACTTTGGCAAAAGGCTGTTGTTAAGCATCAAGAATATTTAGTGACTGCGCCCTGGCCAGTTTGGCTCAGCGGTTAGAGCGTCGGCCTGCGGTCCGGAGAGACCCGGGTTCGGTTCCCGCTAAGGGCACGTACTTCGGTTGCAGTTTGTCCCCGGCCCTGGTTGGTCGTGCGGGTGGCAGCCATTCGATGTGTCCCTTCACATCGATGTTTCTCTCTCTCTCTCTCTCCCTTCCTCTCTCTCCCTCCTACTCTATCTGTACAAAAAATGGAAAAATATCCTCGGGTGAGGATAAAAAAAAAAAAAAAAGAACATTTAGTGACTGGCCCTACCTGGGTAGCTCAGTTGGTTAGAGCACTGTCCTGATACTCGAGATTGCAGGTTCTATCCTAGGTCAGGGTACATACAAGAACCAACCAACGAATGCATAAATAAGTGGAACAACAAATCAATGTTTCCTTTAAAATCAAATTTTTAAAAATGGATATTTAGTGATAAATTCAAGAGTACATCAAAACTGGGTATAAAGGTGGAAGAATAGCTTGGTAATGTTACACACTCTGACAAAGTGGAAATAACAGCTGAGAAAAGGGAGAAGGGAGAAAGAAAAGGTAGAATAAATTCATTGACACATAGGTAACAGATAGGAGTCAAAGAATGTGACATATAGTTGACAACCCCGAACGCAGAAACCTAAGTAAGGTAAAAATGAACTCGATACTTTATATAAAGTATTAGTAAAAATGCAACTACTATAACTAAGTCCAAATACATAATTACCAAATGTAAAGAAACTTTTAAACTAAAAAAAAAAAAAAAAAAAATACTTTTGTTGTTACAAGATTGTAAGTGCAATAGTATATATGCTCTTTTTAAGATAACCCGCCATTCTTGATTACAGGCTACCTTTTCATATAGATTCCTAAAGCTTAGTTATGTATATTTAAAATAGGTTTTACATTTTATTTTAATCAATCAAGACATGCTAATGCCAACTGGATTACTACATGGAAAGGCCAATAAAACAGCTAAAACTTGGCTAATGAAAATTAATCAAAGCCATTGATGAGTCTGCAACTGCTCTATATAATTTTGCACATGATCGGCATTTCATCCAACTTAGAATGCCAACTGGAAGTTGTTCAGTATTTTAAAGTAGACCTTCTGAAAAACAAAGATTAAAATAGGCCAGGCTAGTTAACACATCTATTAGACTGGCCAAAATCCAGAACACTGACACCACCAGACCCTGGTGAGGATGTTGAGCAGCAGGAACTCTGGTGGGGGTGTTGATAACGGAGAAAGCTATGAATGTGTGGGAGAAGGGGTATATGGGAAATCTCTGGACTTTCCTCTCATATTTGCTGTGAACCAAAAACTGCTCTAACTAGGTGCTTTAAAACCTAAGATTTAAGAAAGAAAGAAAAAGCTATCCTGATACAACTTCCCTGCCTTGCTACCTCAATAAAGAGAATTGGGGGGGGGGGGGGGCTTCCTTTCATCTTTATTTAGTTAAGGCTCCCTGAGCTATTTCTAGCCTCGCTAACCTGTTCAAAACTCCCCCCAAGTAAAATGAATATTCTTCTCCGCCAATCATTTTCTTCCTCATGTTTACATCCAGATCTGCCTTTGAAGACGTTCCCTTGAATGTGCACCCTCGCTGGACACTGCCTTCCATCAACAAGTTGGTAAGAGCAAGAGAAAATACTGATTATAACAGCAGGAAGTGACAGGAGCACAAAAGGAAAATTTAATGACATTATTAACTCTATCTGCTAAACCTTTTAGCCCACCATGCCTATTTTAAATATTTTGGAAATTATTTTTGTATATAACGATTACTATTTATCAACATTTGTCTTTTGGAAAATGAACTGCTCAAACCTGATATTGCTATGATTAGTGTAAAGTGCAGGTCCATTTGCCCAGGTGAGGCGGAAAAAACTACAACTTGATCCCTTTTTTTTTTTCCAAAAGCAAAACATTCAAAGTAAAACATGAACATTTAATTACCTTTAAATAATATATGAAATAATTTACATGCTATACACTTCCAAATACACTGAACATAAATCCGATTTTATAAGATACACACAATCTGCTTTTTGCCAGTCCATACCCTATAGATCACGAAGAATGTTAACTGATTTTTCGGTCCATGTGAGAGCAGATAAACAAATATATGTGCCTCAAGTTGAAGATTATAAGATAATAAGCTACAGAGCTGAACGTAAGTCTTCCACAGAAGATTCTAAAACCACAGTCAGTATTGGAACCAAGTAACAAGGCACAAAAGCTTTCCCTTTGTGGTAACAAAGATTAAGTTTCCTGTCCCAGTGCTTAAATATCACAAATTATATTTTATATACAGTGCGTTTCTGTTACTGCTTAAAAAAGGAGTATTTTTCTTATTACATAATTTGTTACAGAAAAACATTGGAAAAATAAATGGGAGATAAGCTCTCATACAATAAAGATTTTGTTCCACTTGAAGAAGGTATTTATGTTCAAAACTAATAACAGATACAGGTATAATAAAGCGAAGCATGAAGAGTCCTTTGCAGATTTCTTTGTACCCTTGAATTGTACCTCGTGCCACCATGCTACTTGAATTTTCCATTTTAAAGTCAGCTGGCTCAGACAGTCCTGACCTCGGGCATCCAGGCCCTATGTGTTTGTGGGTCTCTCTCTCTTTTTTTTTTAACTTGGCAAAATAAAACTCTTCCCAGCATTGAAGATGTTTTTGTTAAATACTAACTTTGTATTAGGCTATCCTTCATTTTCCTTTTTTTCTTACATATTAACAGAAAATAATATTCCATACAGAAATGACTGCTTTAAGATTCATATGACAAGCAAAATATATCTGTATTTCCCTTTTGTTTTTATCCAAAAATGTGCAGATAAACTGAAAGTAAAATATTCTAGGAAGAGTAGTATAGTAACTCACTGAGAGATAAAACACTTAAAAATATATATGTATTATTCTGCTCTAAGAACAGTTTTAGAACTATATTTTTAAAATTACAGTTATCAAAGGAATAAAGCCAACCACAAAATAAGAATCAATAGAATGCATTAATCCATACAGGAAAGACAGTCAAATGTGCTTAATACATATTCAAAAAATCAATAACCTATGTTGTAAATAATAAGTCATCAAATGTAGTACTAAGCAAAATTGTAATCAGAATAAAAACTGTGGTTTCATTCATCTTGACCTTGGAGGCGGGACGAGCTGAACATGAACTTAACAGTGCACCTATGCAGGTGTGCTGCAGGAGTACTGGAGCATGCCAGGCCTGCAGCAACACGTACACTCTTCACGGTGACCTGTGCAGGTGTGCTGCAGGAGTACTAGAGCATGCCAGGCCTGCAGCAATGCGCACACTCTTCACGGTGACCTGTGCAGGTGTGCTGCAGGAGTACTGGAGCATGCCAGGCCTGCAGCAATGCGCACACTCTTCACAGATAAAACAAGGCTGACAGAAAACCAAACAAAAATTTCTGCTCTAGGCTATAAAACCTCAGAGTAAAGAATAAACTGAGATTTTAAGGCTTTCTTAGAAATACTTTTCATGGCACTTCAATGTTAAACATCACTATACATAAAACATGTAAATATTCATAGTTTCATAGTTATATAATCGAAAGAACATGCTATGTCATGTATTAAGGGACTGTCTGTCAAGTTTTGTTTAATGGCAATTAAATTATACTTAAGTAAGGCTATTCATGTTTGGCTGTAATTAACATATAAATCATACAGAAATGTCATTTTGCTAGTATGCAGTACAAATTGTGTTTTGAACACATCTGTCAATATCACTTGTTTCTTAAAGAACTGAAAGTCATTCCTTGTTAGAAATGCAGTTACACTGACTTCTCTCACAAGAGCAGTTATTTTCCTTCCTTCAACTATTAACCTTCTATTAAACTCTAAGATCATTATTAGACAAATTCCTCTGGGTCACACACACATCATCCTCACAATAATGCACTTCTACAGCCAGTCCAGAAAACACCCTAGGAGTCTAACAAGTCATTCTTGCCACACCATACTCCAAGCTGACCACAGCAGGTTCGGATTTGGAAAATTCCTCAGCATATTCACTGTACCGATTATCTGTAGGGTTGCTGCCCTCTATAGTTCGAAGAGTATCAGTCACAGGTAGCAGACTTTGCTCCTTAAAACATAGGGAGGTTTTGAGGATAGGTGACTCAGGATGAACTGGATGTAATAATTCCTTGGTGAGAACGCCATCTATTTGTTCATTTTTGCGTTTATTAATTTTCTAGAACAAATACAAATTTGAAAAAAATTACTATTTGCACATAGTACATGTTCAAATACACACAAAATTAAATCTCAAAAAAATTGGTAAAATCTAGTGCAGATGAGTAAGACATGGTTGAGAATCCAAATTGTTCACAACTTTTGCAATGGAAAAGTTTAGGTAAGTCTTTACACTTGACTGCAGAAGAGCACCAGGCCTTCATATTTGAAAAAAGCATACATTACCTAAAAATTAAGAAAAGTAAACATTTTATAATGAAAGAAAAGTATATAAGACATTCAGCCTGAGATCACAATAACACAACAAATACACACTTATTCAATTAAACAGCTTTCTTACATGGCTACCATAGTTTGTAGGTGAACTACACACCAGAATTTTTTTAAAAACTGAACAGAAGATTTAAAAAGTAATCTTTGGCCCTGGCCAGTGTTGGTCAGTGGTTAGCATGTCAACCCATGAATCAAAGGGTTAGATTCCTGGTCAAGGGCACGTAACTAGGTTGCAGGTTTGATCCCTGCCCTAGCCAGGGCACGTGTAGGAGGCAATCAATTGATGTCTCTCTCTCCATCCCCACCCCTGCTTCCACTCTCTCTAAAAAAAAAATAATAATCAACGGACAAAATATCCTCAGTTGAGGATTAAAAGAAAAAAGTAATCTTTGGCAGAGTATCGCATGCTCCAAATCCCTGGATTGATCTACAGACAGATCTTCTTGAATTACCTGTATCTTGGTGCCTGCCTTTTTTTAATCCTCACCCAAGGATATTTTTGCATTTACTTTCAGATACAGTGGGAGGGGAAGAGAGACAAACATTGATGTGAGAGAGACATATAGATTCATTGCCTCCTGTACGACCCTGACCAGGGCTGGGAACCAAGCCACAACCGAGGTACGTGCTTTTGACCAGAATCGAACCCACAACTCTTTGGTCCATGGGCGAAGGCTCTAACCACTAAGCCAAACTGGTCAGGGCTGTGCCTGCCTCTTTTTAACACATTCTCCTAAAATTTTTAATCAAGCAGCCATTACTTAGATGACTAAGGAACACACCTGCCTGAGAGGCAGACAAGATAGAGTTATAACAACTGGCTAAAATTTTTAAATTATGTACTTACTAATTCTTTTTGGTTATATATGATGGCAAAGAAAAGATCATAGACAAGTCTGAGGGTAGAGAGAAATTTCTTAAACAAGGTACACAAAAAAGCATAAAACATGAAGAGTGATCAACCTGACTACCTTAAAATTCAAAGCATCTATACAAAACATACCATAAATAAAATGGAAAGGACAAGAATAGATTGGATAAAGCCATTTGTAATATATGTAACTGAAAAAGAATCACTGCCTAGTATATAAAGAACACTTAGAAAGCAATAAGAAAAAGGCAGGTATGCCAACAGAAAAATGAGCAGAGGTTTGAATAGGCCATTCACAGGAAAAGGAAAACCAAATGGTCAACATATGAAAAGTCATTCAACTGCACTTGTTATGGAAATCCAAAACTAAAAACAATTTAAATGTTCAGCAGCTGAATGGATAAACTGTGATCTACTCATACAAGACAATGTTATTCAGTAATTATTTATTTATTTATTTATTTTTATCCTCACCCGAGGACATTTTTCCATTTTTTGTTCAGATACAGTGGGAGGGAGAGAGAGGAACAGAGAGAGAGAGAAACATCGATGTGAAGGGACACATCGAGTGGCTGCCACCCGCACAACCGACCAGGGCCGGGGACAAACTGCAACCGAGGTACGTGCCCTTAGCGGGAACCGAACCCGGGTCTCTCAGGACCGCAGGCCGACACTCTAACCGCTGAGCCAAACCGGCCAGGGCTTATTCAGTAATTATTACCAAAAGAAATGCATTAAAGCTATTCATATCAGCATGGACACATTTCAAAACAATGGTGAGCAAAATGAAGCACAACAGTATGCCAATCTCTATATATTTTTAAAACATGCAGTTTCTTAGCTGAGCGAAAGATATATTCATGTTGCTTGTTGCCCTTTATACATATACAAAAACTATATTCTTTTATATTTTTCCATATGTAATAAAAACAGTATTTAAAATAACACAAAACAGTATTACGAGTTGTTGTGGATACAAACATACATAGTAGAAGTATACAAATGTTCACGGGAATAATTAACACCAAATTAAGTGAAAGTAGGTTGGGGAAGCCTGAAAAGAGTATAAGGATCTTCAAATATATCATGTTGTACCCGACCGGTGTGGCTCAGTGGATTGAGCACTGTCCCATGGGCTGAGAGGTCCCAGTTTGATTCTAGGTTGGGGCACGTGCCCAGGTTGCGGGCTCGATCCCTAGTGGGGGGCGTGCAGGAGGCAGCAGATTGATGTTTCTCTCTCCCATCGATGTTTCTCTCTCTCCCTCCCTTCCTCTCTCTTCCTCCCTTACTCCCCCTCTCTCCAAAAAAACAACAAAAACACTTAAAATATATATATCATGTTTCATTTCTTAAAACAAAAACATGAAAGATCTGAAGCAAATATAATAAATGTTACAATCTCACAAAACTAGGTAATGAATACCCCAATATTTATTATTTTACATCTCACTTTTCTATATACTTCAGATATTTCAAAATATTTTAAAATTCAGGGAAAATGATTTTTTCCCCCTTTTAAAAAATTTTTTTTTATCCTCACACAAGGTCATTTTCCATTTTTTTGTTCAGATAGAGTGGGAGGGAGAGAGAGGAAGAGACAGAAACATCGACGTGAAAGGAACACATCAAGTGGCTGCCACCCACACGACCCAACCAGGGCCGGGGACAACTGCAACCGAGGAACATGCCCTTAGCGGGAACTGAACCCAGATCTCTCTGGACCCCAGGTCAACGCTCTAACCGCTGAGCCAAACCAGCCACAGCATTCAAGGAAAATGATTTAAACTAACCTATTCAAAGTAGAGATCTCACTCTGAAGCAACATGTATACTCAACAAGGTTTCGATATATACTAATTTACACAAAGAACACAAGTAAGGAAATAAACAAATTTCATATCCCAAATATATTACATTAGATAATTCAGAATACTTACAGCTTCTAAGTCTTTAATGTCTTTCTCTAACTGTTTATTTTGTTCATTCATATTCATAATTATGTTACACACCGACTCCCTGGGATGCAATGTTCGATCAAATTGGTGGTACATGTTTCTCCAAAACCTTTATGAACAAAAAATAGAAAAATTTCAATAAATAAATGTGTTAAAAAAAATAGGATATAACTATTCAAAGATACCAACTTACTTAAAATTAAAAGATACTGTATTAGGCTCCAAAACAGCAAATTTCTGAGATTTGGAACTGTAGAGTGGATTTAAGTACTTCGTTTGGTCATCCAGAAGAAACGGCCAGAGGGAGTAAGTCTTCTCCTTTAACCTATGTAATGAGAGAAACATAACGATCTTTCTCAGAGATGCCAATATTCAGTTTTATAAATCAGGCAATTGTTTCCCAAGTCGATTTAAGTTTTAGTTTTTCCTTCTATTCAGTCTAATATCACCTTGTCTCTGAAGTCTATATTCTCCTTCTCTCCCTTTCACTTATAATCATGTAATAAAACCATGTCTATTGAACACTACAGATACATTATTTTCTCTCAAACCACACACTTTAAGAGATTCCTCTCTTAATTCACACAATTTCATCTTCTTGGTGTCTGTTACACCTATTTCAAATCACCATGCACATACAGCTGACCCTTGAACGGCAAGTTTGAACTGCACAGGTCCACTTATACATGGATTTTTTTTTTCATTAAGTACAGAGTTGGCCCTTTGTGTCCCTGGGTTTCACATTCACAGATTCCACCAACTACAACAGAACACAATACTTTCAAATCCACGGATGCAGGTCAACTTAAATTACATGCAGATTTTCAACGGTACGGGGGTTGGTGCCCCTAACCACCACATTGTTCAAGGGTCAACTCTATATAGAATAAAATATTAATGTATTTGCTTTGCCTTATTCTAGCCCCATATCTGGGCTGTAATGGCATGTATTACAGGGCAGAAACATATTTAACTGTTGAGTGGGTACAAAAAATGGAATTAGAAAAAATCAAGACATTATTCATGAGTTTAAAAATGTCAATTATACTGCAAATGTACAAGTAAGTAGGTGGGAAAAGGGTAGAATTGTTTTAGATAGTATATTTACCAAATAAACATAAAATAAATAGGGACATAGAGGGAAAGGTAGAGAATCTGCTTGTTTTTCCATGACCCCTAAGATAACCAATAGATATGTTCTTAGAGAAAGACTGCCAAAAAAGATGTGCTTTTATTACCATCTTCCTATTAATGAAGATGTTTGGCACTGAGAATAGTTTTTCCTAAAACAGTTCTGTACCCCAAGTCACCTCTCCTAGTTATGAAAAAACCACTGTGAGATACTATAGCACAGAGCTGAAGTCCTAATTTGTTTATCTCTGTCATACTCTATTTCACTTGTTATTTCCTTTCTACATCTTTAGAATTATCCATGTGCTTTCAGCTCTGCCTTCAGCTCTGTTGGGAGTGACAATATGTGGCTGTCTTCAAACTACCACCAGATTTAACCTCTCTAATATGTCACCCAGTTGTTCAAAAATCTGTAACTGCTCTTGATTGACTACTGTATGAAATCAAAACTTAGAAGCTCTTCTGGCTAAATGCTGATGCAAGGGAGATCCGGGCAAAGGCTCTAAGCTAGATCTCCCTTGCAACAAAATTTAGCCAGGAGTCCTAATCCCAAAGACTGGTTAGGGAAGAACAGGTGTGAGACCCAACTAGGGACAGACACACTGGAGCCAACATAGGTAGACATATTTCCCCAAAGAACTGTCTGTTTAGAAATGTGAGGAGAGCTATAATGCTTCATGTTACCTTAAATTACCCAACAGTTTTTAAATCTTTAACTACACACTAAAACTTAGTGACCAATACTTTGTAGGAAATGAAATGTAAAGATTTTAAAATATATATTCAGACTAGAAAGGAGCATGGGGGATGTTTCTAGGGTGCTGGAAATATTTCTTGTCTGAGTGCTGGTTACATAAATGGATGAGTTTAAGATTTATTAAGCTTCACATTTACAATACATGTACTTTTCTGTATATATGCTACACTTCAAAACACATTTTTAAAATGTATTTCTACTATTAACCTGCTGATGTGAGAGATATTCAGAGCATACTTGGCTTCAGAAATACAAACAATAAAATCTTTACAAAAAATGTCAGTTCTATTTTATGTCAAAATATGTTAGTAAGTTCAACTATAATTTATGTTAGACCTCAGCTAAGGAGGAAATAAAGAGCCCATTTAATCAAACTGTCTTACTTGAGTTCTTCTCTTTCCTTCTGACAATTTCCAAGGAAGTTTCCAAATTGGCATGAATGAATATGTTCATGGATCTGAAGAAGAAACGCTTCATTGAATTCAAAGTCTTGTGGAAACTGTTCGGTCAAATGCCATACACATTCCAAGAACTGAGTAAACACCGGTGAGACTTCCTTTGGGTCACCATCCAAATGGCCACACCTAACCCCCACAAAAAAGTAGAAGCTTTTAGAAATGCCTCTAAAAGAAATTAATTGTTCAGGTGTTGTTAAATTTAAACACACATCAAAAAATAAATAATCCTAAAACACTGTGCCATTGGTATAAAAAAGAAATGTAACATTTTTATTGAAATAATTTATGCCTGAGTATTTCAACTACAACTTTAAAAGATCTACTACCTTCTACATATTATGATCCAGACAAACAGGAAGGAAACAGGAAGATAATAAATGGCCATAAAAATTAACAAAGGCATGATAACCGAAACAAATGACCAAAAAAAAAAAAAAATTAACTCAGTCTTCACACAAAAATCATACCGCACTCTCACCTCCCACTAGACATGCAAGGCCGTGAAAACAAACATTCTGCACTCTAAAGGATTTTCTCTAATTTTACAAAACATGTAAACGTATAACTGTGACTCACCTCTCTGAAAATTTATGTCCAAAGGAGATCCAATCCTTTTCTATTAAAACCTTAATGAGAAAAAGTAAAATCCATTTTATAACTACTTCCAATTTTTCTGGTTTAGAATGGATTAAATCCTATTATCTTAAAAACAGCATTTACACGTTACAAACAAAACAAAAACAAAAGTTTAAGATTATAGGCAAGATAGCAAGAACCTAGATTAGAGGTTGGTTTAACAAAGAATGAAGATGGTACATAAAAAGAAACACAAGCCTGCCCAGTGTGGCTCAGTGGCTGAGCATAGACCCATGTACCAAGAGGTTGTGGTTGGTCCCCGGCCCTGATTGGGGTCGTGTGGGAGGCAACCAATTGATGTGTCTCTCTCACATCAATGTTTCTCTCTCTCTCTCTCTCTTCCTCCCTCCCTCCTTCCCTCCTGCTCTATCTGAAGATAAATGGAGAAATATCCTTGGGTGAGGATTAAAAGAAAAAAAGTGTTAACAGTGGTTGTCTGGCTTGTGTGGCTCAGTGGATTGTGCAACAAGAAGTCCTGGTTCAATACTAGTCAGGGCACATGCCTGGGTTTTGGCCTCGATCCCCAGTAGGGGGCATACAGGAGGCAGCTGATAGATGTTCTCTCTCTAAAATATCAACAAAAACATTTTTTTTTTTATCCTCACCCGAGGACATTTTTTGATATTTTGTTCAGATAGAGTGGGAGGGAGAGAGAGAGAGAGAAACATCGACGTGAAAGGGACACATTGAGTGGCTGTCACCCACACGACCCAACCAGGGCCAGGGACAAACTGCAACCGAGGCACATGCCTTTAGCAGGAACCAAACCTAGGTCTCTCCAGACCGCAGGCCAACGTTCTAAACACTAAACCAAACTGGCCAGGGCAACAAAAACATATTTTTAAAAAAATGTTAACTGGTTAATTGTGGGTGCTAGACTCAAGTTATGTTTTAAACCTTTTCTCTTATATGTATGTTACTTATATAACACTTAGAAAATGATAAAGAGCCCTGGCCAGAGTGGCTGAGTGGTTGAGCATCATCCCATTCACCAAAAGGTCACCAGTTCAGTTCCTAGTCATGGCACATGCCCAGGTTTTAGGTTTAGTCCCAGCCAGGGTATGGACAGGAGGCAATTGATCAATGTCTCTTTCTCACATCGATGTTTCTTTCTCTCTCTCTCTCTCCTACTGCCTGCCTCTCTCTTTTAAAAACCTTACTTAAGCCCTGGCCGGTTTGGCTCGGTGGTTAGAGCGTCAGGCCTGAGACCAAAGAGTCCCGGGTTTGATTCCGGCCAAGGGCAAGTACCTCAGTTGCGGTTCGTCCCTGACCCAGATTGGGGTTGTGCGAGTGGCAACCAGTCAATGTGTTTCTCTCACATTTATGTTTCTCTCTCCCGCCCTCCACCCCTCTGTCTGAAGATAAATGTAAAAATATCCTCAGGTGAGGATTAAAAAATAAATAAATAAAAACCTTACTTAAAGAAAAATGATAGAGACCAATGAAAACCTTATATTCCAATTCAAATGTTAGTATCCAACCTCTTTTTTTTTTTTTTATCCTCACCTGAGGATATTTTTCCATTTTTTGTACAGATAGAGTGAGAGGGAGAGAGAGGAAGGAGAGAGAGAGAGAAACATCGACGTGAAGGGACACATCGAGTGGCTGCCACCCGCACGACCAACCAGGGCCGGGGACAAACTGCAACCGAAGTACGTGCCCTTAGCGGGAACCGAACCCGGGTCTCTCCGGACCGCAGGCCGACGCTCTAACCGCTGAGCCAAACTGGCCAGGGCAGTATCCAACCTCTTGAATTGACTGTATCTGTTTTCTGTCACAACTCTACTGAAATAATAGGGATCTAATATTTTTCAATCTAACCTAAACAACCTATTTTGTTACTCTTTAAGATACCTTATAATTTCACATATAATCACTAAGTACATTCTTTTCAGAAAGTCCAAGTTGCAACTTCTAGTTTCTCTGACTTGGTCTTAAATCTCTCAAGGCCATAGAATGGGACGAGTGATGGTGCAGTCTCTGGAGTCACACGCAGAGACTCAAGTCCTAGTGTCACCATTTTCATACCTGTGTGATCTCGGGCACATGACCTTCAGGCTGTAGCCTCAGATTTTACTATGAGTCCTCTGATATTCTTCTACACACTAACATCTAAAACTTAACATCTTTCTCACTCAACTTATTCCTCTGCGTATCTCAGTGAAGAGCAGAACAGCACCATCCATCATGACAAGTGACTTCCTAGCCTGGAAATCATTCTAGAAGGGGCCTCCTCTCTTGTACTCCACATGCCATCTGTGACCAACTCCTGATACCACAGCAGTTTCTACACTGGTCTCCCAGCCTGCAGTCCCACTTCCCTCTCCCTTGAAAACATCAGACCATTTTTTATTCGTAAAGCGAGTTACTATTGTCTCCTCTGTTTAAAGCCTCTAATGGCTCTCACTACCCATACTCGAGTTTTCTCTTCCTCAGGCCCCCATCCCACTATACTCTTTACACCCAAGTCCCCTGCCTCCAACACTCTCCTTGGTCCCACCAGCCCGCACTAACCGGAGGAGCTGTGCTCAGCTCTCACTGCTCCTTTAGCGGGGGGGCTTCATCTGTCCCTGGTCACGTGTTACATGATTTCATCTGGATGTCTAACAAACAATTCAAGCCACACACAGCAAAGAAAATATTCCTTATCTTACACTCTCAGAGTACACTGAACATTATTTTATTAACAGCACTTCCATTTGTCCTATCCCAGATTCAGTATGTTAGCGCCACAAAATAATGGTGCTGAAAGGGATCTAGTGATATTAAACCATCCTTTGATGGCACTGTATTTAATCATTCTAAACTAATAAAAACTTTCTCACATCTCTTCTTTACTTGCCATGATATAAATTTTGGAAATATGAGTTAATATAATCATATATTTAAAAACAAACAAAACAGAGCCCTGGCCAGTTTGGCTCAGCAGTAAGAGCGTCGTCCTGCGGTCCAGAGAGACCCGGGTTCGGTTCCCGCTAAGGGCATGTACCTCGGTTGCAGTTTGTCCCCGGCCCTGGTTGGGTTGTGCGGGTGGCAGCCACTCGATGTGTCCCTTTCACGTCTATGTTTCTCTCTCTCTCTCTCTTCCTCTCTCTCCCTCCCACTCTATCTGAACAAAAAATGGAAAAATGTCCTCGGGTGAGGATAAAAAAAAAAACACGAAACAGAAGCCATAGCTTTAGTTTCACAAACAGAAAATATGTTCAACTAGAAATTTAATCATCAGATATACAACATACTTCCTAACTAACAATGAACAAATGAGGCAGTTTGAAACAGAAAGTTTTTTCTAGAATATACGTTTAAGTACTCATATTTATGCCTCATTTTACTACATTACTTACATTTATTAGATAAATTTATAAGGGGAAAATACAAAATACTTCTATTGTAATATTTTAGAAGAAAAAATATTTTCTAAAACTTTTTGTCAGAGGTGGCACAAATGAAAATCAGTCTAACTCAAGGTTTCTCATGTCAGCACCACAGACATTATGGGCCAGATAACTTTGTTGTAGGGCTGTCCTGTGCAATATCGGACAGTTAGTACCACGCCCGGGCTCTACCAGCTAGATGCTGGTTGCACCCTTTCTGTTCGCTGTAACAATCAAAACTGTCTCCTAACATTACTCAATGTCTCCTGGGGGGACAATATCACTCCTATGGGAGGACCACTGGTCTAGCCAAATAACTCCTTACCATGAATCCTTTGATTGTCCTGTAGTAGGAATCCAATAAAAGAGAGCCAAGGGAACAAACCTGGGAAGTCCTATCCCAGCCATCAGAACAATGTACCAACACACTTGCATTTTCAATCATTATTGCCTAAAAAAGAAAGATCACATACTCAGTTTCTAGAACACATTTTAAGTCAATAAGTTCTACTTACACTAAATCCATTAAGTAGTGCATTATAAAGAAGAGCTAGGGCTACAATGATAACGCTATTACACCATAATTTGCGAAAAATGAGACAAAACACACAAAAAACCCCAGACAAAAATGCTATTTCAAAGTGTTTAGAAAAAAATTTTAAGTCCCTACACGAAGTGCTACATGATATATTTAAAACTCAAATTAAGTGAACCTCATTAAAAAGGTAAGACATAATAAAAATTATCTAACTGGAAAAGATACCAACATTCAACATACTAAATTCTTTCCTTCCCAACCATCATAAACCCCAAAACCAAATATAAATGATGAAGAGTTACTTTAGCCAAGAAGATTGCAGCATCCATGACAGCTTTGATATGGCGAAGCCATCCTGAGCTCTCCAAACCAGAGTAGAAATCACTGACGGAAAGCCCTTTGGTACCATTAACTTAAATAGAGGGAGAAAAACATTTCAATTAGAATGAGCCAGAGTTTCCACTTCTGTTCAAGATAACTCTAGGTGAGTGAATTGGGGAAGAAGAGAAGAGGACAAAATAAATAGGCAAGACTTTATAAATGAAAAGATACTATTAGAAGCTCAACAGATTTTTTTGTTACATTTTGCTGTCATTCCTAGTGTTTTTAAAAGAAAAGCTATCGCATTTAAACAAAATTTGCAACACAAATGTTAAAAAGTCTGATATTTTAATTTTTTAAATTCCATACCATGACTAGAAAGATATCTTAATATTTAAATAGATTATCATAAATTAAACTTAACTGTACTGACTAATCAAGAATATCTAACAATAGCAATTTTTGTAAAACCGTTAGTATTATACTGTCTAATAAAATTGCTACCACCCAAATATGGCTATTGAACACCTGAAACGTAGGTAGTCCAAACTGAAATGTAATATAAGTATAAAATATCTAAGACTTAAAGGCAAAAAAGGAAACTATATTGTTACAAATTTTCATATTGATTACATGTTTAACATTGTTTTTAATATATTAGGGTAAGTGTATTATTAAAAATAATTTCAACTGTTTCTTTTTACTTTTTAAAAATGTAACTATTAGAAAATTTCAAATTACATAATTTAAAATTTTATAATGTTTGACTAGCATTATATTTCTATGGAACAGAGCTGACTAGAAGGTGAATAATAATCATACCTTCCAATAACTTCTGAAGGCTGGACCGCATGACATGAATATTTTCAATTCCAACAAATTGAAATCTAATATTAGAATAGTTGTCTTCATTTTCGTAACCTTTTCCAGCTGCTCTGTTGGCCATAGCATTCAGCTAAAAATTTTAATTTTAGAAATTTAGAGACAAATTGCTTTTGCAATTTACCAAAATATCATGAAAACACAAAATAAACTACATGTTAGCTAGCAGAAAGTTTAAAGGAACTCATCACAACTGAATATGCTACCATTTTTTAATAAGTAAAAGTCTCGCCCTGGCTGGTGTGTCTCAGTTGATTGAGTGACATCCCATGCACTGAAAGGTTGTGGGTTCAATGCCCGGTCAGGGTGCATATGTGAGGCAACCAATCAATGCTTCTCTCTCACATCAATGTTTCTCTCTCCTACCTTTTCTCTCTCTTTAAATCAACAAAAACATATAAAAAATAAGTAAAAGTCTCACATGTTAATAATAGCAATGAAGGATACTATAAAGAAACATGATTGCTATATAATTGAAAGGTCAAACAAGAAGTTCCCCACTAGGTTTTTAAGTGTTTGTAGTATTTCCAAATCTTAAACTAGAAAGATCTATCTAAATCCTAAATGATTCAGAGATGAGCAGAGCTGGGTAGTTTTTATTTTCCAGAATGAACCTATAAGATTCACCTCAGAACAAGCTTATAGAGCACTTGATCATTCAGAAAGCCATAGGGACCCTGAAATTCAGATATGAAATATATGTCAGATTATTTGAGGTCCTCCATATTAGAGACTACTGGAGGCTCATACAGTATATAGCATGGCAAATAATTCGTTAGCTTGATACAGCTCCAAGAACTGGGTCAAAAATAAACTGGTCCCTAAGGGAGAAAACAGACTGCCTGCAGCCCAATGATCTTCAATTTTTAGATCAATGCTATCAGAGGTTCACTTAAGATTTGCTATGTTGCCCGGCCGGTGAGGCTCAGTGTATTGAGCACCGTCCCATGGACTGAGAGGACCCTGTTCGATTCCCGGTCAGGGCACATGCCCAGGTTGCGGGCTCCATCCCCAGTAGGGGGCATGCATGCAGAAGGTAACCAATGGATTATTTTCTCTCATAGATGTTTCTCTCTCTCTCTCTCTCTCTCTCTCTCTCTCTCTCTCTCTCTCTCCCTTTCTCTCTCTCTAAAATCAGTAAAGGAAAAAATAAAGATTTGCCATGTTTAATTCTTTCAGACTAGGATTTCATACAGCACATGATTACAATTTACTAAATATTCTTATGAACTTGGATAAAACAGAACTCGAATTTTAGGAGGAAACAGTAGCTTTTCATTAAGTGCATTGAGGCCCAAGTTGGTAACAAGTACAGTTAAATTGTATTTCTGATTCTCTGGTTATTCAGCAGTTATGATTACTAGGGTTAAGGATTAGATATTTAAAATGTTTACACTCCTTGAGTTTAACTAGTAAAACAAAACAATCAAAGAAAGATATATTTTCTCTGTAGAAGTCAGTTATACAAATAAGACATATTAGGTCCTGAGAAACAAATGGTACTCAGACCTTATATTAAGAAAGTCTTGTATTACAATCATCATTTATATCTAATAGCACCTAAAAATAGTTCTAACCAATTAATCTACCCAGATTATACAAGGAAGTAAAGTTAAAATTTTTCTTAAAAGAGATATCGCCAACCCTCTTGACTTCTAAGAAAGTCTTTTCTTTTTAACAAAATAATCAAAATAATTTTTAACAAATTATCAGTTTCTAATTTGTAATACTTTTTCATTTACTCAAATTAATCTTATCATATGTTTTCTCCAGTGTCTTGTGTAAGACTACATAACGATGAGAATTACTTCTAAAACAGCTACCATTCCTTTCAAAAAAGCTATCTATAATTGTGGTCTATATGGCTCACTCGCTTTTTCTCATCGCTTTCTCTTATTTTTTCATCATTCCAGATTTTTGAAGAAATCCTCACTATAATTCTGCCAATGTCCTTTTGTGTAGCCCACCAGTTCTGCACACGATGCTATAATAAAAATTAAAAGTAATGTTAGCTATTACCATTTGGATTTTAACTACCTTAGTGTCAGGATCCTATAAGAATTGGTTGTTTAACAGTGCTTATAAAAAGAAAACTGGGCCCTGGCCAGTTTGGCTCAGCGGCTGGAGCGTTGGCCTGTGGTCCAGAGAGACCCAGGTTGGGTTCCCACTGGGGGCACGTACCTTGGATGCAGTTCGTCCCTGGCCCTGGTTGGGTCGTGCGGGTGGCAACCACTCGATGTGTCCCTTTCTCGTTGGTGTTTCTCTCTCTCTCTCTCCCACTCTATCTGAACAAAAAATAGAAAAATGTCCTCGGGTGAGGATAAAAAAAAAAAGGAAACTGAATTGTCACATCTGATCCAATGATAAAAACTTAACCATACCCGATGGATGGCTAACAGAACAACTATTTCCTGTTCACTATTTATAATTTTCTAGTTCAATGTTTTCTAAGTTAACTCACTACGTATTTTCCTTATTTTCTTGCATATTTCAAATTAAGGTCACTTATTTTAACACAAAGTGTTTTGCCAACTGAAAAATCTAATTGAATTTCTAATTTATCACAACACAGACTATTTAGTATTTCTTCACGTTACACAATACTTATATACCATCAATAGTTCCCAATAAATCTCAGCTTTCCTAAATTTATATACATCAGAAAACAAGAAATCACCATCTGGTTTATTTGGAAATTGGTCTCCTAAGTTGGTATCCTTTAAAAGATTTATTTCCTGCCCGGCCGGTGTGGCTCAGTTGTTGAGCATCAACCCATGTACCAAGAGGTCACCGGTTCAATTCCTGGTCAGGGCACATGCCCAGGTTGTGGGCCCAATCCCCAGTGGGGGCATGCAGGAGGTGGCCAATCGATGTTCTCTTTCATCGATGTTTCTATCTCTCTCTCCTTCTCCCTTCCTCTCTCTCTAAAATCAATAAAGAAAAAAAAATAAATAAAAGATTGATTTCCTTAGTATCATTAGCCTTGATTAATTTAAAACTAGAATTCAGTATGTTAAATGTGAACAAATTAGTCAACTCTCATTAATTAAAGTAACAAAGATAATTATAAACTACTATATTTAAGGCACATACTTTGGGCCTGGTATCCACGACATACATATAGTGATTGGCTGGATTGGCTTTACTAATGGCTTGAAGCAAATGTTCATCTTCCAGGCACCTGGCACTGAATCCTGACAGTGGTTGGCTACATCGGCAAATGGCAGCCTAATTTTAAAAAGACAGAAAACAGATTATCCAAAGATGTCTAAAACATGTCTTATAAAATGCTTAAAAGACAAAAAATAAAATAAAATGTGCTATCTGTTTAAAAGATGGCAGGACAGTTAGAAGGCATTAACTTTAAAATCCTATATTTCAACATCTTGATGTTACTTAATTTTTCCCAATATTCTCTTCTAAGAAACCTAAATGCCTCCTTACCTAGTTGGATTAAAAAACAACAACAATTTAGGTCCTCAGAAGCAACACTTTATGGATTCTCTATCATGTAACCTATGAAGATATTTGCATTCTGTGCCCTAGATTACAAGATACATTCAACTCAAGTTCAAGTAAGAGATCAGTCAATAAGTGCAGAAAAGGATTTTTTAAAAATAGTAAGCAACATCTGAACTTTAATTTTCCAAAGGCTTTCAGGCCTCTAATTAGAAATCAGCAATCTTTAAATAAAAATGAAACATAAAATGAGAAAAATTAGTTTCGATTCAAATTTGGGTTAAAATATAGTAAATTTAAGAGGGCAAAAGAGTGAATGTTGGATTAGATATTTACTGTTGTTTAAAGTCTTAAAAAAAGAAAAGATTTAGACCCATATACTTTTTATTCCAATCTTATCCATACCAACCACAACTTAACCCTACCCAAACATTCCAACTACAGCATCAACAAGGGGGGAAAAAGTATACATAAATTCACACATTCACATATTTTAAATATATACATACAAAAAGAAACTCATAAAAATTTAATAAAATAGAAGAAAATGAGGAGTGCATTTTTTTTAAATCTTCACCCGAGAACATTTTTGCATTTATCTTCAGATAGAGTGGGAGGGAAGGGGAAAGAGAAAGAGAGAAACATCGATGTGAGAGAGACACATCAAGTAGTTGCCACCTACATGACCCCAACTGGGGCCGGGGACAAACTGCAACCGAGATACATGCCCTTATCGGGAACTGAACCCGGGACTCTCTGGTCCACAGGCCAATACTCTAACCACTGAGCAAAACCGGCCAGGACGAGGACTGCCTTATTAAATGTTTTTCAGACCTGCCTCCTGATTTGTTCAATTTGGCATAGAATATCTATTTTTAGCCCAGATTTCTAATTAAAAATGTATACAAACATGGATGTGTCAAACAAAGGCCATCACCAGTCATAACTCCCTATGACTCTGATATGAAAAGCAGATTAGGAACTTCTGTTTAATGTTTTACTTATTATCTCTGGCTCCCTTCTAAAACCCAACTTGAGTTTCTAATAAAGAAATTTAATATATTTAAAACCACAAGGTCAAAGAGAATGAGAAACAAGACAAAAATAGAGTAAAGATGTCAATAAAAATTGAGGAAATGAATGCAGATTGACAAGTAATAACTGATTTACCAGAGCAAAGAAAGCTGCCAAATTATGAGTCAATAAGAAGCAGGTCTTTTGCGCAGCAAAATCCCAGACAGGCTCAGGACTAGGTACCTCTGAAGCCTAAGTGCAGGTATGACTGAAAACAACAGAACTGGCTGAATGTCTGTATTGTCTAGTTAGCAATCCCAGACTTTCCCTCCCCTCGAAGAAAAAGTTTATTCTATGAAGAAGATTAACCTGAAGACTCTGGGCTACAGGCACAACTGTGGCTGGAGGTAAAGCCCTGCTTTACTACATTAAGGATTAAGTAAAGCCTATGTAGCAAAATGTGAGGTCTTCCCACCCCTCTTCCCACATGTGGATCCTGGCCAGACTTACCACACACTTTGGGACAAACATTACAAAAGAAAAAAATCCAAAGACAGTGATCACTCATGCATACAAACTTCTAAACACCTTTGTAGTACCTACCTCACCTCTTAAATATGAGAAGTAGGCCAAGAATTAGACACATGAAAGACGAAAAACAAAACAAAAAAATAAACAGAAAAAAAAACTGAGCAAAATGATAACTAATGTGGGGGGCACAAGAATTCTTTTTAAAGAATCCTTAACATCTTCAGAGAACTAAGTAATCACATCCAAGAATAGAAATCTGTCCAAGAAGTTTAGAAAACAGGAAACTGTTCTGGGGTTTTTAAACACTATAGCAAAAATAAATAAGATCTAAGAGATGGTTTGGAGGTGAGATTCAGTAAATCTTCCCTCTTACCCCAAACCTTGCAATGTGACTTATAGACATGTCCAAGCACAGAAAGAGATGAAAAAATGGGGAGAAATTAAGAAAAATGGAGGTTTATGCTAAGAAGCCCACTTGTCAAGTAATACACACAAAAGTACAAAAAAAATTAATAGAGAGGAAGTTAGCAAAGAAATAGAGAAGCAATTTCCCAAAAATGAGACCTGAGTTTCCAGACAGAATTTAAAACAACACTCCAAGGCACGTAACTGAAGTTTTAGAACACTGAAGAAAAAGAAGAGTTTAAAGCTTCCTGAGGACAAAAAGCGGGTCACAAAAAAACTGGAGTCAGAAATGGCATCCAAATCCTCAGTTACCAGCTGTGAGATATACAAAGTGATTTACCCTCTCTGAGCCACAGTCCCCCTGCTTGAAAGTTATTGGTAATTAGTGGAGCCAACCTTGTCAAGTTACTATGAGGATTTTGTGCATATAAAAGCACTTAACATAGTACTTCCTGGCCTACTGTTAAAGGCTACAAAGGTTAAGTTTTACTGTAATGTGCAATCCCTACTCAAGCATCTCAGTACAAAGATGTCTCCTCCACCCCTTCATACTGCAAAATCCTTCCAATTTGAAGAGCTTACTATTAAAATAGGAGCCTGAAATACCCTTGGTTCTCTCCCTTTTCTCAATAGTCGGCTTGTCAAAACTATCTGGTTTCCCCCAATACGAACAGAATCAAAAGATAATCAATATATTTTCTGGTTTGGCTCAGTGATTAGAGCATCAGCCTTTGACCAAAGAGTCTCCGGTTCGATTCTGGTCCAGGGCATGCACCTCGGTTGTGATTCATCCCCATCCCTGGTCGGGTCATCAATGTGTCTCTCTCACATCCATGTTTCCCTCTCTCCCTCTCTATCCCCCTCCCTCCCACTTTATCTGATGATAAATGTAAAAATATCCTCAAGTGAGGATTAAAAAAAGTAAAAGATAACCACAGGCAAGGAAGAGAATCTGCCTAATCCCATTATTTTCAAGTCACTACAATAAAACCTCTATGCAATGGACTAATTTGGGCAAGGGCAGGTCTGTTAAAGCCAAAAGTACTTTTTACAATAAAGTATGTTTTCCAAATTTGTATGTTAGAATTGACAAATTAGTAAGTTTACCTGTTTTCACTTATGAAGACATGTCTGTGTAATAAAATTATGTATGAAAAGTTTAATTTCACAGAAAAGTTTTCTATACGTATTATAGTAATTTCAAATTTATATTGAATAGGTCTAGTAAATGTGTGCATTCACCAGTCACTGAGAGTGAACCAATGCACATGGCTGGGGTGTGGCTTAGCACATGCTGAACACAGGCCAGCACACATTAAAACTGCTGCAGAAAGTCATGGCATGAGACAACAGAACCAATTAACATACACAATTCAGTGTGATGAAGTGCTTATCATTCACTAAACATTGCTTAGGAGCGGGGACTCTTGGATTTAAATATGTAGACTATAGTTGTAGATGTATAATATTGACTTATGTCAGAGAAATTACTACTGTTTCTTCCAACATATGGCCTATTTGCTAAAATGCGTTTAAAAAAATAACAGTGAATTAACAATGACCAAAAAAAAAAAACCCGTTAATTTAATTAAAAGCAAATCTTGGTTAAAAGCATTTGAAAATTAACTGGGTGTTGGCAAGGATGTGGAGAAAAGGGGACTCTAGCACATTGCTGGTGGGAATGCTGACTGGTACAGCCACTATGGAAAACAATATGGTGTTTCCTCAAAAATTAAATATAGAACTGCCATTTGACTCTCACTTCTTGGAATATATCCTAAGAAACCTGAAACACCAATCAGGAAGAATATATGTACCCCAATGTTCATAGCAGTGCTATTTACAATTGCTAAGATCTAGAAACAGCCAAGTGCCCATCAGTAGATGAGTGGATAAAAAGGCTTTGGTACATTTCCACAATGGAATTCTATGTAGCTATAAGAAAGAGAGATCCCTTATCCTTTGTGGTAACATAAAGGGACCCGGAGAATATTATGCTAAGCGAAATAAGCCAGTTACAGAAAGACAAGTATCACATAATCTCACGTATTTGTGGAACATAACAAATAAAATAAGCTGTTGACCAAAGAGATCCAGAATCATGGAAGTAGGGAATAGCCTGACAAACCTCAGAGGGATGGGGGGGTGGGAGGGGAGGGAAGAGATAAACCAAAGACCTTATATGCATTTATGCACAACCAATCGACATGGACATTAGGCTGGGGAAGGCAGGAGGGGGGTGGGAGTGGGAAGAAGGGGATCAATGGGGAAAAAAGGAGGACATCTGTAATATTTTTAACAATCAAAAAAAAGTACAGTTTTAGTTTCATATTTAAATCCATCAACTATTTTGAGACATTTTCTGTATAAGGTATGAGGGTTAGGTTAAGATTTATTTTTATGCCTATGGGTATTCAAGTATTTCAGCACTATATGTTACAAAATGCTACCCTTGCTTCATTAAATTGCTTTTGTATTTTTGTGAATAAATAAATAAATAAAAATAAAAATTAACAGGGTGTTAATTTTCACATATGACATACAGACCAAAAATTTTGTTCATTAAATCCGAAATTTGTTAAATTGAGATCCACAAAATCGAGGGTTTACTCTACTGGAAGAAAGGACATAAAAATGAAGGAGAGGGTGAAGAGGAAAGAAAGATTACAAACACGGAAGTTTCTGTATTTCAGGGTAATTTTGTTTTAAAATATTGAAAATGTCATCAAGTGAAAAGTCAGCACCTCTCTATCAGCAATATTATAATAATGACATCTTAATATAAAAGTGAGCATTCTTTTGGACACTTAAACCTGGAAAGGGTTTATACTACATTAGTAAAATCAAAAGGAAAGCTGCCTACCTCCTTATTGTGATGATAGTAGGAAAGAACTGGAAATCTTCCCTTGCTCCGAAACTTAGAACTACCAACAATTATTGGTTTGCTTGCTATTCGGGGAACATAAAGTTCTCTCGGGTAAGTTTCACAAATCTGTAAAAATCAAATGAAACTATAACCATCCTATGTAGTTTAAAAACCATGAGCTTAAGAACCACTTTTATAAAACTTTAAAACTTACTAATGCAAGAACAGCACATAGCTACACAGAGACAACTGGCTACTATGAGACTTACTAAGTCTCTGGTACTAACATTTTCTGAATTTCCCCAGAAGGTTGCTAAGTTACCTTGTATTCTCGGTTGGCATCAGACAACTGCCAGTTTGAATTTGGCACGCCCATCCTCTTATATTCCTCAGCAAGATCAATAAGCTGCCAACCGCGCAGTCGTTCCGAATCATTTTGTTTGGGATTGTAAGAGAATGCATAGAGATCTTCATATTTTGCTACAGTATACAAAATGCATAAATATTTTTAAAAATGCAACTTATAGGACTTAATACGTGACAAATAAAAATAATTTTCAGTTTTACCCCTCCTTTTTCTTTAAACTCTTCAAAGAAATGTCTAATACCTGAACATATTTGAACTTAAAATGTTCTCAGTTCTGCCCAGCCAGTGTGGCTAAATGGTTGAATGTTAACCCATGACCAGGAGGTCACTGGTTTGATTTCTGGTCAGGGCACATACCTGGGCTGTGGGCTCCATCCCCAGCGGGGGGGCATGCAGGAGGCGGCCAGTCGATGTTTCTCTCTCATATCAATGTTTCTATCTCTCTCTAAATACTCAATAAAACATATTAAAAAATTTTTTCTCAGTTCTTTGATGCAAATGATTATACCTTAAAGCATAAACATATCGATCTGAGATTCAATTTATATCATCAGTAAAAGCTAATAAATAACACAGTGAGACTTACACCTTATTGCAACATTACCTTTTCTTAAAAATAAAATTTTAGCCCTGGCCGGTTTGGCTCAGCGGTTAGAGCATCGGCCTGCGGTCTGGAGAGACCTGGGTTCAGTTCCCGCTAAGGGCACGTACCTCGGTTGCAGTTTGTCCCCGGCCCTGGTTGGTCGTGCGGGTGGCAGCCACTCGATGTGTTCCTTTCACATCGATGTTTCTCTCTCTCTCTGTTCCTCTCTCTCCCTCCTGCTCTACCTGAACAAAAAGTGGAAAAATATCCTCGGGTGAGGATAAAAAAAAATAATAATAAAATAAAATTTTAAAGACACAAATAGACAATTTCTACCCACCGCTTTTCTCAAATGAGATGTAAAATAAAGAATAATGCTATAATAAAAAATTAGAAATTGCCTATACATTTCCTATAGTTCGGTTTTGACCAAAAATGGCAATAGTTGCACAGAGGTCCAGAAAACACTTATTTCTAAACAATGATAAGCCCCTGAAGTCACAGAACCATCTTTACCATAAGATTTGACTTAACTTGGGACAATGGGATAAATGTTACAGGCTTTATGTGCTGGGAGAGAAGAGTGAACAAAAATATGCTGCTAGACCACTGCAAACCAGGTGTTCAACAAAGTAACATCCAGTAACTAATGTGCTTTGTCTCCCTGGAGAAATCTATGTAATTCAAGTTATGCTGGGGGAAGGAAGCCTCCAGATCCCTAATGTATAACAGTGATAAGATTCCTCTTTAGGGCTATATCCTTCTCACTCCTATCTCTACTGAGGTAGAATTCACCCTCTTCCCTCTGTCCATCTCCCTATGTTCCACCTAGTCAATTAGATATATCAGTCCCACTGCTATCAGGAGAGCCTGACCGTCCTTAACTTTTCGTTTAGTGATCAATTTCTAAGTCACTCCCCTCAGCTATGGGATTCTTAAAAAAAAAAAGAAAAGAAAAGAAAGAAAAAGAAAGGCAATATTAATGGCTATCTAAACACTAATATAAATCTAAGTTTTTTAAGTCTGTGCTACAAATGCTTCATTTTGTCCTTACTATTACCCCTTCTTTGAAACCATTATTACAACTCAGATCAGAAGTTCCTAATTACTTCTAGGTCAAATTTTTTTAGAATAGAGTACACAAGAACTTGACAAAAGAGTAACAAACTATAAAATGACAATAATGAGATATTAAATAAAGTATCTTAGATAATCCATCTCAAAGCTGAGCAAGTAAGCTTTGGTCTCTAATAAAAGTACCTTGTTTTGACAGTTGTAGTAAAGAGTTGTAAATATCATGGCAATCTCTTTCTCTGGGAACTATGAAATGCACAATCCTGAAGTTCTTGCACTGAATCACAAGTGGGCATCCAGAAGTCGTCAAGGCCAGTTTCTCCACGGAGGCAATATGGTGATGCAATATCTACAGCATGAAAAAACATTTGATCATCATTACAAAAAGTACTATCTTATCTCTTCCATGGTGCATAAATGTTAGAAATGTCCTCTTCAAATAAAGTCTCAAATGTTATACACTACAAATTCAAACTTCAAATTTTTAAATGACAATGCCCAAGCCAGAAATGTGCCCTGATCACTCCACGTATTTATGTATCATTAAATCTCAAGAGTTGCATCCTCTAAATATCTCTATAACCTATCTACTTCTCTCCATCTCTACTGTCACTCCCCTAGTTGCAATGTTCTCATTGTTTCTCACCTGACTATAGACTTCCCCACTTCTCTAGCCTCATTTCAAGTCCCTCCCCCAACATCACTAAGTTCTAGTGACAATATCCTTCTTTTGAGTTCTCAAATGAGCCAGATTTCTTTATACACACTCCGAGTTGCTCTTACTAATAGGGATATCATAGCTCTATCTCTTTACCTAGGAACTTCTAATGTTATTTCAGGTGTTCGCTAAAACTCATCACTGAGAAGTATGTATAGCCTGACAATCCCCATGGCCCTTCCCAAACAAGTTAGGCCCCCTCCATTTTCTTACCAAATACCAACCTACATTCTTCCTTTCATAGCACTTAGTATATGTGTAATTTGTTTGTAGTGAAGCTCTATTTCTCTAGCTAGCTTTTAGGAACTTCACATAAAAAGCAAAATTATAGCTAAATTGAGCACCATTATATTTCCAGCACCTAACACTATACTGGAACATTTTAGTGACCCTATTCAAATAAAAAAAACAAACAAAAAAACATTTTGAGTGCTATATATTACACATTCAAACTTAAATTTGACCAAGCCAAAAATACAGGTGTCATTGTTGATATCTTCTCCATCACAAATGCTTACTGAATGAATGAACAGAAAGTCCTACCATAAACTCAGTACTTGATGGCATATTGTGTTTGCTACTAAAAAAAGTTTCCCTTTTCTCAATAGCATTCCTACTAATTTAAAAAATTTATAAAAAAATTTTCTGGAAAATAAAAGATCTTAAAATTGTAGCAGGTTTCTGGATGATAAAACAATCATGGCAAAAAAAAGTAAATCATCCCAAATTAATCTAAAAATTTAACATAAATTACAGTAAAAAATTACAACCTGTTTTTGGGGTGTGTGTGTGTGTGTGTGTGTCAGGATGAGAGATGGATGATTATTTATAGTATACATATGTATTATATTATTATAATTTTATCTTTATTACTAATCTTTACATTATATATATTAAGTCAAAAGTTCACATGCAAGATTAAATGCATAAAATAATCAAGAAAGGTTTGAAAAAGAAGATTAATAAGAATAGAAGTCCTATGGTAATTAAAAGTATATATAACAAAGACAATTAACACATACTATACATATGTAGCTCACACTTATGGCTGAGATTTGGCACTATTAACATCTATATTACCAGACCTGTGCCAAGTTACTCAAAATTATCTAACTAATAGTAACATCTAAACAGAGAATAGGAGACAATAAATCACTATAATATTATATCTCTATCATGATTCCAATTAAGACCCAAAATTATTTTCAGGAAAAGAAGTGATAAAGGGACCTGGCTCTGCCACTAACTATTTATGTGATCTTGAAAAACTAATCATTTGTAAAAGGAAAACAAAATAAAAATAAAAAGTAATACTCCTTTCCAGATCTAAAAATGTTCATTTCTATGGCTCTAGTATACTAAAAAGACTTCTTTCAGGAGACATCTACAGAAATATACTGATAAAAAAGCATTTTAAAGACAACAATAGGAGAGAACACCACAGATATCTTTTAGCTACTTCCAAAATCACATTCCCAACATCTGAAAGAATAGCTATATGGCAAACTTTCATTTGTACTGTAGATGAATAACATACAGAGAAGATATTAAGGTGGGTGGACAAAAAGAGTAGACAGAGTAGATGTGAATATAACTAATGATTTTACAAAGCCCTGCTGGGGGAAACTCCTGGGCACACACTGGACAAGGAAGAGATCCAAAACCTCTAGGGCAGTGGTTCTCAACCTTCCTAATGCCGCGACCCTTTAATACAGTTCCTCATGTTGTGGTGACCCCCAACCATAACATTATTTTCATTGCTACTTCATAACTGTAATTTTGCTACCGTTATGTCTTAGGCAACCCCTGTGAAAAGGGTCATTCCACCCCCAAAGGGGTTGCAACCCACAGGTTGAGAACCGCTGCTCTAGGGAATACAACTTCTCCAAGATCAACATCTCAGGCAAATACTTTAACTTACTTATTGCAATCACTTATCAATTGGATAGCCTTCCTGGGGAAATCAAAAGAGTACAATTAAAGAGTGTGAATCATTGGCTGACCATCAACGTGTGCACAAAGAGGTTGCCAGTTCAATTCCTGGTCAGGGCACATGCCTGGGTTGTGGACTCGGTCCCTGGTGGGGGTATGCAAGAGGCAGCTGATTAATGGTTCTCCCCTACATTGATGTTTCTATCTTTCTCCCTTTCCCTTCCTCTCGCTCTAAAAATCAATAAAAATGTATTAAAAAAAAACTTACTGAAAACTATAGTCAATAAAGCAGTGTGCTATTGGTACAGTGTAATCAATATACCAAAAGAACAGAAAAGAGAGCTCAAAAGCAGATTCTCATTTTATTTATGAGTTGCTACTACACATTAATGGAATAAAACAATCAATAAATGGTACCAGTTATGCATAAATAAGATAAAATAAAAACTAATCCCTATGTCATACTATCCACCAAAATATTTCCCAGATATATTAACAAATTATACTTAGAATACAAAATGTAAGCTTTTAGAAGAAAATATAGAAGAATCTCTATCACCCTAACGTAGGAAGGATTCCTTAATTCACAAAACAGCATAAACTGTAAAAGAAAAAATGAAACTCTATTACACTAAAATTTTAAAGTTTAAAGGACACATAGACACACACAAGATGAGCCATACACTGGGAGAAGTTATCTACAACACATATACTGACAAAATATTAAAAACTGGAACTCTTGCAAAATAAACACAGGACAAACAATCCAACAGAAAAAGAAAAGAATATCTAAAGCCAAAATTTCTGAAAGGGTAACTTCCTTGTAATCACAATTGCATATCCACCAGATAAGAAAAATTTTAAAGTTAACAATGTCAGTGTTGCTGAGGACAGTGAACAATGTATCACATTCTACTGGAAATATGTTGAAACAAATATTTTGGAGGGGTGACATACTTAGTAAGATTGAATATGCACTTACCTAAGTAATTTTACTCCCAGGCAAATATCCCAGAAAAACTCTGGCACAGTGTATACACAAAGATACATATACAAAATATCCATTACCTCACTGTTTATACTAGTAATAAATAAATAAACACCCTAATTGCAATTTGGTATAAAAATACCGTGGAGCCCTGGCCAGTTTAGCTCAACCCTTAGAGCATCAGCCCGTGGACCAAAGAGTCTCAGTTCAATTCTGGTCAAGGGCATGTACCTGGTCAGAGTCGTGCAGGAAACAATCAGTCAATGTCTCTCTCACATTGATGTTTCTCCTTTCTCTCTTCCTCCCTCCCTCCCTCCCTCCCTATCTGAAGATAAATGGAAAAATATCCTCAAGTGAGGATTAAAAAAAAAACTGAAATATGATATTTGATCTGTTAACATGTACCTACATTAAGGCAGGGTGGTGTGGGAGCAGGAAGGAGAGGGAGTCAATAGAGGTAAAAAAAAAAAAAAGAAGGGACATCTGTAATACTTCCAATAATAATAATTTTTTTAAATTAAAAAGAACAAGTAGATCTTTTACAATTATTTATGTAGGTAAAAAGAGTCTTTCTGGTATTCTATTTTTTTTTTTAATTCCACATTTCATATTATATCAATTTAATTAGGAGGGAAGGTAGGCCCGGCCAGTGTGACTCAGTGGCTGAGCATCGTCCCATACACCAAGAGGTCCCAGTTTGATTCCCAGAAAGGGCACATGCCCAGGTGGTGGGCCATCCCCAGTGAGGGGCATGCACAAGGCGGCCAACTGATGTTCTCTCTCATCAATGTTTCTATTTCTGTCTCCCTCTCCATTCCTCTCTCTAAAACCAATAAAGAAAAAAAATTTTTTTTTTTTTTAAGAGGAAAGGTAGAAGTGATTAGGTGACCAAAAAATTTTTGGTTGAGATAGGTAACCAATGATTAAAATGTTTTGTACACATTCAAAATAAAACACAGCAAGAGATTAAAACCATTATTATAATTATGATAAACAGTAAAACAGATGTCCTCCTTACCCAGGTTTCTTTCTGATGAGAGTCTATAAATAAAAGATGTGTGGCTGTAAGATACAGTGTTCCTGTTAATGACTTGTTGTTGGTACTGAATCGGTCAAGTAATTTCACTTGCTCAACCTAAAAAAGAAAAAGATGTTACTTCTCATTTCAAAAGTAGTATAAATTATTTTTCTGTTACCCCAGGATTTATATGTACTATATTCAATTTTTTCTCTTCCTGCTGTTCAAAAACATGAGTTTATTTAAAGTTGAATGTTAAGTTTCATATCTCCTGGGAAAGCTATAAACCACAACAGTTATCAAAATATAGCCAGAAAGAAGAACCCTGTAAAGAAGTATTTACACAGATATTAAGGGAAACAGGAAGGAGGGATGTGATATAAATAAGCAAAAACATCTTTTGTAACCAAGAGTCAATATATTTTTTTAAAGTTGGCGGGTCAAGTAATAAATATATAAGGTTACCACATAGAGTTACGGAAGTAAATTACCAGAAAAATTAAATCGGCAAACAGTTAAATGGTGGCAAACTCCAATTTCTTTTCCTCACCACTCCACCCAGGACAATATTTTGTGTCCAGTTCTGTGCTTTTCCTCACACTGTTCTCCCTTCCTACAATAGTCTCTTTTGCTTAGCTAAGTACTAAGCATTCTTCAAAGCTCCCTGATGTCCTGTCTTCTAACAGGAATCCTTCTCAGAATATTAATTACTTAACGTCTTAGCTTTGTATTTCTTCATGACTCTGAATTCCCTGGCATAGATTATGTCATATGCTGCTTCTACATCCTTTAGTAGCTGAGACAGTGCAGTACATAGTACATCTTTATTAATAGTAGACACACACACACACACACACACACGTGAGGATGCCACTGAAGAGTGGGATTAGAGTTGGCCAGGGATGTACAGGAGACTACTGTTTTGAAAAAATAGTATTTATTTCTATCTATTCTTATGGAGGTAAAAAAAGTAAAATAACTATTACCAAGTTAAAATTTTTAATCCATAGCTATAGCAGTAGGTTGTAGATAGTTCCTTAAATTGTGCAGGTCTTCAAAACCAGATAATAGCTAACCATTATCTCATTAGTTCCATACTTTTACCCCACAAATACAGGGTGGGGCAAAAGCAGCTTGAGTACACAAAACAGAATTTACTCTTGTATTGTCAATTATTAATTTGCCATACAAACTGTAAAGCTACTTTTTTTCCCCCTCACCTGAGGATATATTTCTACTTATTATCAGCAAGAGTGGGTGGAAGGGAGAGAGAGAGACAGAGAGAAACACTGACAGGATAGAGCCACATCAACTGGTTGCCTCAGGCCAAAACTCCAACCACTCAGCCAAATCGGCCAGGGCTGTAAACCTATTTTTATCCCACCCTGTATTTTCGTTTCCTTTACTAAAATTGAAGGAAAAAAATGCCCACTTTGAAATTATGATTCTAAAATAATCAACAGCTACCATTTTAAAAGACTATTAGTGCCTGCCCCCGCAAGAAATTTAATCTCAGAGAAAGTTTTTTACTTATAACAGCACCTGTTCAAGTAAATTAAAATTTAAATGTAAAATTAAAATACTTGTTTTTGAAGAAAAAGAATTCATTCTGACCTTAATAACTTGAGATTGTTTATTTTTTTTTTAAATGGTTACACAATTCTTTAATTATTGACATAAAAAGATGTCCATAATATGTGTCCAACAGGGGAAAATAAAAGGTTACAGAACAACAGAGATTGTTTATTATCTTAGTAAATACAAAATAATATTCAAATCAAGAAAATATATAGAAAATCATGATTACTTCAATATGGCAATCTTTATGTGGATGTGACAGACAATAAAATTATCCCAAAACATTTAGTTAATACTTAAATTAAGGTTCTAGAGAAAAAGAGAATTCCTGAGAAAATATACTGACTATTCGGTTCTTTGCTGCAAATCCCAAGATAAATTTTTAAAAAAGAAAATACATTTAATATTTTTCTTTGCTAAAATCATCAGGATACAAATTTCAAACTATAGACTTAGCCAATTTCTAAACACCAACTGCTGCTTCATATTTTCCCTTTTCACCGAGGAACTGAAAGTACTTTACAGATGTTGTTACAGATTTTTCCCACTGTTTTCTTAAGTCACATATTCAGGAAGGATCTACAACTCTTTCAGGTCACTAGCACTGAGGCACTGCACAAACAGTTTTATTACAGGAATCAACTTGCCTTCCTGAAGTAGAAGGTAAATAAAATAAAATAAAATAAAAAAAAAGCAGAGACTTTAATCTGGTTTTGTTCCTCCTGTATCACTAGTTCCTAACAACAGTGGTGAGCAAAACAAACTGTCAAATGAAACAGATCATATACCCAGGGGCACTTTACTGACATATCTTGTTTTGCTTTCCTGCCCTGCTACACAGCTGACATTCCATGAATTGGCTTCCTGTCTTCCTGTCTCACTCAGTAAAAGCAAAGATTTCACATCAGTTTTCAAAGCTCTATAGTAACTTGTCCCTGTCCCCAACCTTAATCTTCTATATGCTGTCTCCTTCATTTACTCTGCTGTAGCCACACTGGTCTTCCTGCTAGTTCTAACCAACCAGGAATGCCCAGCATTGGGTTTTTGTTCTTGCTGTTCCATTGGAATTCCTCCCACCACCTCTTCCACCCATGTAAAGATAGCTCCCTTCTTACCTCTTTCAGGTCTGTACTCAAGTGTCACTATCTCTGTAAGGATGTTCCTAACTACCATATCTACAACCGCCCTCCCTTACCCCACTCTGGCAATCTCCACAGCATTTACCACACCTACCATATTATATATTTTACTTACTAATTTTGTTTACTGTTATATCTTCCCCCAAGCAGAAAATAAGTTTCATAAGAGCAGGGATTTCTGTCTGATGTATTCACTGCCATTTCCCCAGTACCTAAAACAGTGCTGCACCATGGAAAAGAGGGAGCAGAGGAGGAGGCAAATAAGAGGACGGCAGAGGAAGAGGAAACAAAGGAGGAAATTAGATAGGGAAGACTGTTCCCTGTTCCCGTCCCATCTGTGATTCACCACTTCCCAATGTATCCCAAATACTCTGTCTCTAGTTCTTCTTCCTGTGTTTGGCCCTTTTAAGTATTTCGAGGTCTCTAACCATCAAACTCTGCTCTACAGTGCCTCTACATATGCTTCTTGTATAAACTCATCTACAATAGGAAATTTCAATGATTACCTAAGCACTGACAACTCCCAAATCTATTTATCTGGGCAAGATCTTTTCCCTAACTCTAGACACTCATAATCAGCTACCTACTAGAAAACAAATCCTACCACCTAAGTTCCTCTCATCCATCCCCTCCTTTCCATTCCTACTCACAACGACCTACCTCACTATTCAAATCTCTTGGCACTTTACTATTTTGTGGGGAAAGCATTCAGGTATTCCTTAAAACCTACTGCCTCATATTTCAAAGACAAAACAGTATCATTTTCTCCTTATTCTTGTCCATTCTTAGTTTTGCATCTGCTTCACTCTTTGTAACAGGTAACATACATTTGTGTACATTCATGTATGATCTCAGATTCTAATGACAAAAAGGGATAGCAAGCTAAGACAAATTGGGAATTACTTTTGGAATAATTCAATTTGAGCCCTGTGGGGTCAGATTTTCATGGGACATTCCATTCTTTTTTTTTTTTTTTTTTTTATCCTCACCCGAGGACATTTTTCCATTTTTTACTCAGATAGAGCGGGAAGGAGAGAGAGGAAGAGAGAGAAACATCAATGTGAAAGGTACACATCGAGCGGCCGCCACCCACACGACCCAACCAGGGCCGGGGACAAACTGCAGCCAAGGTACATGCCCTTAGCGGGAACCGAACCCGGGTCTCTGTGGACCGCAGGCTGACGCTCTAACCGCTGAGCCAAACCGGCCAGGGCGGGATATTCCATTCTTTAACAAACTCTAGGAAGCAGTCTTTCACATAGAGGTTAGGAAAACATTCTTTCATTTCATCCTGCAAAGTTCCATTCACAAACAGCACAAATTTCAACATCAACACATGATGTTAGCCAAAGGACTGGAGCTTGACAGAGAAAGAAGAAAGACTGCATAAAGAACTGTCTCTGCATATTTCTCATTGTTTCCTGGCAATATTATCTCATTATGGCAAAATTAGCACTCAAAGTCATAGACAGTAGTTACACTGTTCACAAGTATGGCTTGGAAATGGTCTTTCAGAATTCAAATTCAGACTTAATATCTTTACTGATACCATACAGTTAATAAACCAAATGTGACCAAAACAGGATGATACTGTATATCTATTCCTCAATTTTAGAATTATAAAGCCATTTAATTAGTATTCGCCTAAAATACTCTATATCTGATAAACCTCTGGTTAGTAAGCAAAAACAAAACAATAAAAAACAATGACCATAAACTATACAACAATACCACAAAATATGATTTAATTATGTCAAGAAGAGGTTTGAGGAAGATAAAGCTCTTAGAATTTTTCTTAGGATGTATTTCTGCATTAATATTAACACATTTTCACAATTAGATTGAAACTAGAGAGGCAATGGAAAAGACACTATATATAGTCTTTGGAGTTAGACAAACCTTGGTTTAAATATTCTCTATGCCTCTTGAGCTCATTGGGCAGATTACTTCCACTCTCTAAGCCTATGTCCTTATTTGTAAATGGAAATAATGTACCCAACTGGTTGTGTTATTTTAAAAGATTAGTGATAATTTTGTATAAACTACCATATTTGTGAAACTGCAAATACTGTAAAATGATATTGTATAATTGGCTATATTAACATATAATTACTACTTTCCACATACAGATGACATTTGAACAACATGGGTTTGAACTGTGGGGGTCTACTTACACTCGGATTTTGTTTCAACTAACACCTGTACTGTTTTAAATCCATAGTTGGGAGTCCACAGATGTAGAGGGCCAACTATAATGCACTGATCTACACCATTTTATATATACAGATTTTGATATCTACAGCGGGGTGGAGGGGGCTGGAATCAATCCCCCTTAGATACCAAGGACAGCTAAGTTTTCAAAGAGTCAGAAGTTATAAACAGATTTTCAAATGTACAGGGGACAGCATCCCTAACCCCTGAGTTGTTCAAGGGTCAACTATGTATAGCTGTCAGAACAACACAGAATCACTAGTTACACAGTACTACTCCATAGTCAATCCTTTATCATAGTGACTAAACTACATAGAGTTCAAAACAGCTAAATAAACTTAAAACAATTTATTTTTAGTTTGAAATACTTACAATTATTTCTGCAGCAAATTAACTATGTCCAGGTGAAGGCTATACATAATAGAAACAAAAAGTTGGCTATGTTCAAATCAATTTTTATAACTTATAAGTTATAAGGTTATTCTTGTAAGTTATAATTTCAGAAACTATCACATTCCACCCAGTAATTATCAGAATGCATTATGAGGTCCACATCTATTTTGCTCACTGTTGTATACCTAGTGTCTGTACAGTGCCCGGCACATAACAAGTACCTAGCAAATACCTATTTAATTGCAGTCTACATATAGCTACTTAAGATTATTACAGAGTAGTTAGTAGTAGTCCAGTGCTAGAAACATAACCCAAAGTAATAAAGGTGCACACATGAGAAGAGATGTTAATAGAAAATTAGTCAGAAATCTTTGTCTTGCCCTGGTAGGTTTTGCTCAGTGGTTAGAGTGTCAGCCCGAGGACCAGAGAGTCCAGGGTTCGGTTCCCACTAGGGGCACGTACCTCGGTTGCAGTTTGTCCCCAACCCTGGTTGGGGTCGTGTGGATGGCAACCACTAGATGTGTCTCTCTCATGTGGATGTTTCTCTCTCTCTCTCCCTTCCTCCCTCCCTCCCTCCTGCTCTATCTGAAGATAAATGCAAAAAAAATGTCCTCAGGTGAGGATAAAAAAAAAAAAAGAAATCTTTCAGTCCTTAAAAAAGTCATAAAAGGACCTTAACTAAACCACAAGCATGGACCCATCACTGGTAGTTAAAGAGGAACATTAGATCAAGTGGAAGTCACCAGCAACAAACTTAATGAAATGAGAAGCTACAACTAAACAAATAAAAACAAAGATATACATTCACCATAAATTTAAAGTGGAAAGGCTTAAACTAAGCCAAGGGGTCCTACATTTTCCAACTTTCTGTTCACTCTTACCAATCACCTGAGAATAGGGCTGCTTCTAATTGATTAGCCTCGATTCACTTTTACTGTTTTGTTATTGTGTGCTGTAGCAAGTCTTATGAAAGATGCAAAGATGAGGTTCAATCTGGTAGGAAAGGAAGTGGTGTGCACACAGCTGCTATACATATAACACAGGTCTGGACCCTTGAAACCAGCACAAGAACCTGATCTGATGCCCACTGCAGTCCTCCTTTCCACCTCTACATCTTCCACTAGTTTGGGTATTTAGTTCCTCACCCTTCTATTTTCAAATTTTAAGTGCCAGCTACTTGAATCCTAGAGTTCCTTTAGATTCTCTACCTTTCTTCTCTTAAAAAAATTTTTTAATGGTGTTAGTTTTTGGCATCTTCAATTTCATTAGAGATGGTATGTGCAATGTTAAAAACAAGCTCTAATAAAAATCCAGGTACACCGCCCTGGCCGGTTTGGCTCAGTGGTTGGAGTGTCGGCCTATGGTCCAGAGAGACCAGGGTTCGGTTCCGCTAAGGGTACATACCTGGGTTGCAGTTTGTCCCCAGTCCTGGTTGGGTCGTGCAGGTGGCAGCCACTTGATGTGTCCCTTTCACATCAATGTTTCTCTCTCTCTCTCTCTCTCTCTCTCTCCCTCCCACTGTATCTGAACAAAAAATGGAAAAATGTCCTCGGGTGAGGATTAAAAAAAAAATCCAGGTACACCTTAAAGAGGTTTATGAGACATTTTAATGACATCGCAAATTCTCTCCGTGGAACAAATGAAAATGACGTCTGTCTGCTAAACGGTCATTCTGGGATGAGCAGCAATTAACTGGTTTCAGCAAAATGCGGACAGTTAAGATTCACAGTGGGTCGTCCTCTTCCCGGCGATCTTAACATCCTGTTGTTCCATTCTTCTGGTCTCCATATTTTCTCCCTCCCAAAGTTGAAGTCTACCTTAATGTTGTTGGTAATTTACTAATATTTTGATGTCATTTCCTTCCGTTGTAACATTTGTAACGGAATCACAAGAATACGTGTTTGTGAAAAGCCAAAGAAAAAAGCCTTTTACACACAAAGATTCAGCACGGTATTTAATAAGCTCAGTTGAGTAATAATTCCACCAGACACTTGCAAATATGCAGTCATGTTTTTCCCTTCCCCGTAACTCCTCGGTTGAGCTGACAGCCGACTCCACAGACAATCAAGTTGGAGCAGAGATGGAAACACCAAACCTAAAAGACTGGGGACCAGAGGAGAAGGGGGTGGAGCCGAGCGCGGATCTCAGCTTCCCCACAACTTGCTCAAGAATCCGTGTGACACGAGACGGTTAACCGCGGAGACGGAATACAGCATCGAAAAGCTCGTCTGTACATGCACCGGCTCTGCGGTCTCAGGCGGCGACAGGCTGAACGGCCCCGCGGCTAAAACAGCCCCAACTGTACCCAAGAAAGTGCTGCGAGGGCGGCAACAAATTTCAGGGACTGAACCCCACGCAGCCCAAATCCTGGCAGCCCAACGCCGGGGCTGACCAGCGAGACCGTACCCAGGGGGCAGCAGGCCTCCTCCCCGCCCCCGGCCCAAACTGCCCCTTCCCCCCAGAGGCCCGGCCAGGCCCCGCCCCGGCCCTCCGCCCTGGTCGGGCCAACCGAGCTCTCCTCGTCTCCCGCCTCCGCCCCATCAGGCCCGCAGCAAACGGATCTCCGGCGCCCGGCTACCTTGGTCGTACGGATGTGCTCCATCCCGAGGAGACGTCGGCGGCGGGCTGCCTCACAGGCGTGTCATGGGGCGACAGAACCTGTGCGGTGATGGCGACCCAGACCCAGCAGGAACTAGTTCTGCTAGGCAGCGCCACAGACCGTCAGCCCCGCCCCCGGCTGCACCCACTGCGCAGGCGCAGCCTGCCCGCACCGTCTCCTAGAAACACTTCCCCAAACTAGGCGGCTGCCCAGGGGGCGTGATGGGGGTGGGGGTAACAGAGCGTCCCCGAAGGAGAGCGGAGTCTGACTCGTGTGGGGCAGCCGCCGACGCTACAGTGCCCCCTGTCTGTGGAGGGCTCACCAACCCTGACAGAAGGCAATGGGCAGAGAGCCAGTAAAGCAGACCTGGGAGAGGGTCCCGTGGGGACGTTGCTGGGCTGAAGAATGAATCCTGTGGACATGCTGTGGTAAGAGATGTGGTAGGTGAGGGCGAGATGGCCCTGCAGTCCATCACCCTGCCAGTGGACAGCACCAAATAGCAATGCTTTCTCTTTACTTTGAGCTGCAATTCTACTCACAAAAATCTCGACTAAGGAAATAATCAGATCTATTTAGTTTAGCCTTATTTGAAACAATCAAATCTCCCATACTATGGGATAACCTAAATATGAAAGGCCAAAGTGAAAGGCAACAAACATTTATTTGAGGTCAGAAAAGAAATACCTATTCGGGAAGCACTGATTTCATAGGGGGAAACCCAAACAGTGTTTATTTCTCTTTTTTTTTAATTATTTTTTTTTGTTAATCCTCAGTCAATGATATTTTTCCATTAATTTTTTGATAGAGTGGAAAGGGGAGAGAGAGAGAGAGAGAGAAAAAAAGAGAGAGAAACGCCAATGTAAGAGAGGCACACCCACTGGTTGCCTCCCCCACAACCCGGACCAGACCAGGGATTGAACTTGCAACCCAAGTACATGCCTTGACCTGGAATCGAACCCATGGCTCCCCAGTCTGTTGGTTAACACTCTAACCACTGGGCGAAATGGGCTACGGCCCAGATTGGTAAAGCAATGGTTATGCTTATTAAACACAATGGTCTTTATGGTAGAATCACTTACTCTGTGTAATAAAAACAAAATTGAGCCACCTGGAAACCAATGAGTACATTATCATATCCAAAAATATATAAATCCTGTTCTCCCCACCAAAACAAACAAACAAAAACAACTTTGAAAATTAATGCAAGTCTTTACTGAAGATCTTTTGAAAAGCAGGAAAGGGTGAATTATATTGCATGACATACATCAAGACTTCCTTAATAAAACCTTTTTATATTATTTTCCCCCAGAATTTTATCATTTTCCCCATTCCCTGTTCCCATACAGGTTAACCTCATATCCCAGGTTATCCTCCCTGCTCTCTTCTCTTATTATTTCTTTTAGAGAGGTAGTAATAGTAATGTTAACCAACACGTAAGATTATCAGGTGGCAGAAAGTGTGTTAAGTGTTTTACCTATATGCCTATATCATGAGGAACATATTATTACTTCCCTCATTTTTTAAAAGATGAGTACAGAGAAATACCATGTAGTTATATTGCCCAATATCACAGAGCAGATAAAGCCTAGATCTGTGATATAAAGCCAGACAGTCTGACTGTAGAATCTGTATACCTTTATTTTTAGAGATGTGAGAGAGAAACATCAATCAGTTGCCATCTGCACATACCCAGACCAGGGACTGAACTCAAAACCTGGGTATAGTCGTCCCTCACCACTTCACGCTTTGACTTTTTCGGCTTCACTCTATCACAGTTTTTTCAAATATATTCATTAAAAAGTTGATCAAGACAGTAAAAATGATACAGCGCGCTCAGTTGTCTGAGTCAATTATACACCCCTGTATTACAATTAAAATGAAAATTACTGGATGTGAAAATGGAGGCGGAGTGAATAGAAGCTAGGCAGATGATCTCCCAGGACCAAACGGGAATTACAACTAAAATAAAGACAAATACTCAGAAGAAAAGCAGCAGGACCATATAACCAGGGACACTGGTAGGATCTGTGGAGGCACGAGAGGGTGACAGGCTGGGAGCCCACGGACAGCAGCAGTCTTAGCTGTAAGCAGTGCCCTTGGGGAATAAAGATCAAGCCCACTCCACAGCACAGAGAGCCTGACAGAGCGCTAAAATAGCCACAGCCACTCACCTGGAGGCTACGGCAAAGGGAGGCAGACTGGGCTGGAACTCTGTGGGGACACCTGGGATTTGGAGGGAACATAAGAGTTTTTGCTGAGTCGAAGACACAAAGAACAGTGGCCAGTGTGCTCCTTCCAGAGCTGTGGAAAAAAGCAGCAGCCCCTTCCCCCTGGAGATTCAGCCTTTCCCAGGTGAGGCAAAGAAATAAACATTGAGGCTCATTAACAACCAGCACCTATCCCACCCTCTGGAAATCCTCTTATGCAGAACACCAGGGCTACATTCAAAGGCACTGAGTAACTCAGACTACTAGCCTCCAGGAAAAAGCTGGAAGATAACAGAACCTTTCCTGGGCTTGCAAATCTACCCAGAAAAGTAAGACTTGACAATGGTGTTTAATATGGGCCTGTCCAGGCTCATCCAAACCCAGTAGAGGGAGCCACAAACACAGGAATACCAACACCCACAGGGAAAATTTGGCAGGCTCCAAAACCCACTGAGATAGCCAAAATGGTGGAACAAAGAAACAAATCCCAAATGAAAGAATAAGAGAACTCTATCGAAGATGAGATAAATGAAATGCAGCTAAGCAAATTATCAGAGGTAGAGTTCAGAGCCATGATCTTGAGGAAGCTCAACAGCATGAGTAAGGACATCAGCACCATGAGTAAAGATATAGAAACATTGAAAATCAACCAAGTGGAAATGAAGAATGACATAGCAGAAATTAAGAACACATTGGAAGGACTAACCAGCAGAGTAGAGGAAGCTGAGGACCAAATCAGTGAATTAGAAGACACGATAGAAAACAATCAACCAAGCAGAAAACCAAAAGGAAAAAACAAAACACAGGAAGACAGCTTAAGGGAACTGTGGGACAACTGGAAACGAAATAACATTCGCATCATAGGAGTACCTAAAGAGCAAGGAAATGAGCAAGGGTTAGAGAATATATTTGAAGAAATAGTGACAGAAAACTTCCCTAACTTGGTGAAGAAAGAAGGCATTCAAGTTCAAGAAGCACAGAGAACCCCTAGTAAGAAGAACCCAAACAGGCCCACGCCAAGACACATAGTAATTAAAATGCCAAAAATTAAAGACAGAGAGAGAATCCCAAAAGCAGCAAGAGATAAGCAACAGGTTACCTACAAAGGAAACTCCATTAGGCTCTCAGCTGACTTCTCAACAGAAACAGGCCAGAAGGGAGTGGCATGAAGTAATCAAGGTCATGAAAAACAAAAATTGAAATTAAGACTAATCTATCCAGCAAAGGTATCATTCAAAATAGAAGGTGAAATGAAGAGCTTCCCAGACAAAAAAAAAAAAAAAAAGGCTAAGGGAATATACTAGCACCAAACCAGCACTGGAAGAAATACTATAAGGACTGCTATAATTAGTAGAAGAAATAGAAAGAAAAATATAACCACAATAAACAAAAATGGCAATAAATAACTACATATCAATAATAACCTTAAATATAAATGGATTGAATGCTCTGATCAAAGGACAGAGTAGCTCACTGGATAAGAAAGCATGACTCACATTTAGGTTGTTTACAAGAGACCCATCTCACAACAAAAGACTGACATAGGTTGAAAGTGAAGGGATGGAAAAAATCTTCAAGCAAACAAAAAGGAAAAAAAAGCTGTGTAGCAATACTCATATCTGATAAAGTAGCTTTCAAAATGAAGACCACAACTAGAGACAAAGAAGGCCACTACATAATATTGAAAGGATCTACCAACAGGAAGATATAACCTTGGTAAACATATATAAAAGCACCAAAATATATTAAAAATCTTCTGGAAGACTTCAAAGGAGAAATCAACAGCACTACAATCATAGCAGGGGACCTCAATGCCCTAATAACATCACTGGATAGTTCTTCTAGACAAAAAATTAACAGGGAAACACAGACTCTAAATGAAGCACTAGATCAAATGGATTTAATAGATATCTACAGAGAATTACACCCCAAAACTGCAGAATTCACATTCTTCTCAAGTGCACATGGGACATTCTCAAAGATAGACCACATGTTAGGACACAAACTAAGTCTCTACAAGTTCAAGAAGATTGAAATCATATCAAGCATCTTCTCAGATCACAATGGCATGAAACTAGAAATCAATTGGAACAAGAACATGCAAAGACATTTGAACACATGGAGGCTAAATCGCATGTTATTGAACAAGGAGATCAAGGAAGAAATTACAAACTTCCTGGAAGCCAATGAAAATGAACACACAACACAAAATGTATGGGATGCAGCGAAAGCAGTTCTGAGAGGGAAGTTCGTAGCACTACAGGCCTACCTCAAGAAGCAAGAAACATTTCTAATTGACTATCTAACCTCACAACTTAAAAAACTAGAAAGCAAACAAAAAGAAACCCAGAGCAAGTAGAAGGAAGGAAATAGTAAAGATCGGAGCAGAAATAAATGACATAGAGACCAAAAAAACAATTCAAAGGATCAATGAACAAAGAGCTGGTTCTTTGAAAAGATAAACAAGATTGATGGACCCTTAGCTAGTCTCACCAAGAAACAAAGAGAGAGAATTCAAATACACAAAATCAGAAATGAAAGAGGAAAAATAATATCTGACACCACAGAAATACAAAGGATTGTTAAAAAATATTATGAACAATTATACGGCAACAAATTTGACAATCTAAGCGAAATGGACAACTTCCTAGAAATACATAGTCCCCCAAAACTGGACCGGGAAGAGATAGTAAACTTGAACAAACCAATAACAACAAAAGAAATTGAAGAGGTAATCAAGACTCTCCCAGCAAACAAAAGTCCAGGCCCGGACGGCTTCATAGGGGAATTTTACCGAATTCAAAGAAGAACTAATACCCATTCTCCTCAAACTATTTCAAAAAATTCAAGAGAAAGTAAGACTTCCAAACTCATTTATGAGGCCAGCATAATTCTAATT